GAGAGAGAGAAAGAGCCTTCCCAGAATTATTGAGCCCGAGTTGTCCGATCGATACCTCCTTTCCCGACTCACACGGTGTGTGCGGATGACGAAAAGCGTGCTCCGCCGCCCTTTGTTAGGTGGCCAGGAGTCGTTTCCGCCGACGCCCGAGTGGGGCATCTTGGCGGGCGGGCGTCCTTGTCCGCAGCGGCAAGTGCAGCTGCCACGTTTTCGCCCGCCTTTGATAAAACAGAGTTCGTTTCTCTCTCGCGCGCGCGCGCCGAGGGAGATGTCCGAGGCTGCCGGCCGAGGGACCGATAACCGTGCGTCGATCGATTACACGCCGATAGTAAAGCATCGCGCACACGGCGCGGAAAAGGTCGCCGAGTGTATCGGGGCGCTCTATCGCGCGGGGCACCGCTAACACCGGCGATAAGCGGGTGCCCGCGATAACCCGCTTCGCATGCCGCAATTTGGGTTATCGCCGTGACTAAATCCCGTGAGCGGCCGCGCGGACTGCGCCCGGGATATCCACGGCCGAGGAGGACGAGCAGTCTTCTTCCCGTCTTAGGCGGGGTCTGCGGTGAGAATTTCAACCGGAGGACTTGAGAAACTGACCCGATCACAGTCGAAGTGTAGAAGAAAGGAAATTACGGATTGGTCAATTTCTCAAATTCTACGCCGGAAATTCTCATTGTAGGCCGCTTTAAGCGGGATCTGCAATGAAAATTTCAGCTCTGAGCTTGGGAAAATTGAGCGATCACGGTCGATTATTCTCCCCCTCATTCGACCGTGATCGGTGGTCAGTTTCTTCAAGCTCAGAACTTAAATTCCCAGACCCCGCTTTACTTCGCAGTTTCTACACGACAGCTCCGTCGAGCTGCTATCTTTTTTTCCCCCCAAGGCCGGCCCGAAGTGTCTTTTTCCGAGTCATCGACATTCGTTGCTTCGGCCTTGCCCGAGCGATCAGGCCGATGGCACGCGTGAAGACGCGAGTAGTGAGCAAATCGGCCAACCATGCTTGATTGTTCTCGGGCCGTAAGAGGGACACTCGACTGCGATTGGTCAATTTGCTCACTTCTTATGTTTCTGTGTGCGCGCTATGGGCCTTATCACTGCCTCGCGTTACCCGCGAGTATGCGCGGCATTTTGCGAAGTAACGCGATAAGCAGGCGATTGGAGGCCACTTGGACGCGCTTTAGTACACACTGGTGACACATTGTGTGTTCGATGTACGAATCCGTCGGAGTCATGAATCCAAGTTTAACATGTGCTTCCTAGACTAGAGGATGCGTGTGTAAACAGAGAAGCGCAATCGGGGAGAGTCGATCTCGAGATTGGCTGTCCGAGTCACGTGACTTAGGCGCCATTTTTCGGCCGGCCGCGACTAAGAGTATACGGTTGATACCCCGGTAAGTTATATATAATATTTTTATCACATACTTTTAGGAAGAGAGAGAGAGAATATATCATGACTCAGTAAAATCTCTTTTTTTTTTTTTTACGTGCCGAGTTATAACAAATTACGAGCAGTGACAAATTATGGAGAGAATATTCCTACTTAGAATAATTATTAAGGCTAATCTCGCGCAACCTAACCTTTTTTTCTTTACTTATTTCGCTTTTCTCTCTTTCTTATTCACCTGTTCCAAATATCACCGTGCAAAGTAAATGGCGGATCTTCGGTATATCGAATTCACTTGCGCTTCTCTATTTATATCTGGGACCAGCTTTGGGCGTTTGATCGTAACATACAATAATATATAAATGTCCGCATAGATAATGTAAGTTATGTATAATATGTCATGTATGCAGACAATAAGTAATCTGTGAACCGTTAAGGAAAAGACTTGTTTCTTCTTATGTTTCATAAGTCTTATTTCTATATTTAGAAAAGAAGAAAAGGGCAAATAAGAGCCAACGCTGCTTGTTGCTTACGGTAAACACTTAATAATATAGAAATCTTTGGAAGCAAAACAGACGAAGGTTTCGGTCGCGTCGTTTGGATCCTCTCCAGCGCAATTAACAACACGAAACGATTAAAATACAAAAATTAAAACATTAAAAATTGGACAAATATGAAAGTCGTCGGATTAATATTAATTTGGTGTTGTAATCGACATTAATCTTCCGGTCTTGACGCAAACGGTCCGCTTCGATTAGCCTGTTGCCTTTAAATATATGTTGGGCTAAAGGGAGGTATACAAATTCAAAAAAATAAATATTAACTCTTACCTAACAGACACTTATGTCGGTCTAGTCTTGCCCGTAACATATGTGTAGTCAATACAACGAATGTTTATACGTCGATAATGTATGAAAGTTAAATTGTCGTGAGACATCCAAAACATTAAACCAATGGAGAAAAAAGTTTATCCTTGCGGTGATCTGTCGATAACATGAGACGAAAGACTGTTTAGGTTAATCGTGTTTTCTTGTAAATAAAATCCAGTCTTCTGACATTATATGAGAAACATCTTGGACAGAATGTTCCATATTTAATATTTTGACGTTGTCTCAGTCGAACCTCAGTCGTGCCTTAGTCTTTAGTCTGTTAGGAGACTACCGATTCTTCAATATTGTTCCTCGATAACTGATTGTGACGCTTCTTAATGTGAGTTCCGAATTGTCTATTCGTTTGTTCCACATCTTATTTTTATATTTTATTTTTGTTTCTTTTTTGGAAAGCTCACAGGTAAACTTAAATAATAACATCTGCATATTAACAGTATGTAAACTTTTTATATTACTATATGAACGTTTTAAATATGCGTAAAATAGATTTTATATCTGACTTAATCTAGTATAATCTATTAAAAATTGGTGAAATTATTTTGTTTAAAGCGGTTATTCTACCTTGTCAAGCCACTAGTATGGCATTTATTCTAAAAGATGTTATTAGAATTCGAATTGAGATGAACTTTTTTTTAGAAATATTTATTAACACTTGCATTTTATAATGTATTTCATAATGATGCAGTGTAACATTCCATGTTAATTACTGAAACTGATTGTAAATGGCGATGAAGAGACTGCCAATGAAAACACCTCCATCTCACGGAAATGATTGAGAAGCACTGCGTGATCTGAAACAAACTATATTTTCTCAAACAATAATCAACAATTTAACACAGATATTACCAAAATGGCGGCCTTTTTAAAGGGGAAATTCGATTTTCGGCTAAAATTGTGATATTTATTTTGCAATAACAAAACAATTATTGCAGATATCGCTTTTATTGTAATCCACCTTATGGAGAGACATGTCTCTTATAAGTATGTTAAGTTGAAAAGTGACATCTTTAAAAGTTTCTACGCAATCACTTCCATCAGTTTGAAAATGTGGTTTCGAGAAAAATATATTTAAAGTTTCAAGTTGTGTTTAACCCTTTGGGGACGAGTGTCGGCATATAGCCGCCCATGCCGTTTTACCGTTCCGGACGCGTGTCGGCATATAGCCGCCCATGCCGTTTTACCGTTTATGAAAAATTTTTCTTGTGTTAAATAGAGCCTTAGTTTTTATAACGTTCAACGTATTTATTTTCTTTACTGCGCACTCCAATACCTCTCGTCCTCAGCGACGCTCGCCCGTCGAGCGGCTCCGTCCCCAAAGGGTTAAGTATATATTTTGATTATTTACACTTACTTACACTTAATCAGCTATCCTGGGATCATAAAGCAAACCTTCTATTTTTTCAAGTTCAACCAGCTTTCATTTTTCTGAGCCATTTTCGCTTGCCGAGATTTTGAAAAAGTATCGACGCTTGACAGCTTTTACTCGTCCCCAGAAAAAAGCGCGTGAAAAATTTTGTCTGAGACCAAAGTTTTATCCCTAATACCTCCATAATCTTTACTAATATTGTATATCCTTTATTGAATATACAAACTGCTAAGTAGACAGCAATTTCAATTATTTACGATGCTGAATATGCTTCGAAGCGAAATGCCACATCGTAGAATTAAAGCTCTCATTATTATTTTGAATATAAACTTCGAGGCATTGTTTTAATAAATCTTGAGTAGACTTTCGTAAGTCAATCAAAAGCCACGGTAGAAGGTGATTATATTTATCTAAAGTTGTATCTGCGGTTTTCTATCTACACGTCGCTTCAATCTACGGCCTATAATTTCGATTCTTTTGAATTTTCACTGAAAACTTAAATACATTTTCGAGGTTTCAGACTATAGAAATATATAAGAACAAAAAAATCAATTTTCTGACCCGACAAAGTAGAATATCTCTTTAAAGATTTGCGATAAATATTCAGACTTTAAGTATTCAGACATTTGCTAAATCTTCTCTACAGTGTTTAGTAGAAGACGTTCTATTTCCGAGAAACAGATAACATAAACGAAAAGTGCAAAGGTGAACGGAGTATGCATGAAGCGATCCCACTTTTTTGTCCAAAATAATATGGCAATGCACCCATGATGGTAGCTCAAACATTAACAAGAGACGATGCTTCATTTAGTTCGGTTTAAAAGATAAACATTTTCTGGAAGAAGGCAGATACCGAAATCTGAATATTCTTTTTTGGCGTTTCAAAAGCTTTCAATTAATACCGGTCTCGACTGTGTCCAATTGTGTGCCCAAAAAGTGGGCAGAAATGATATTCACTTTTTCTGCGTTGCACATATATATATACCTGCACATACATACACATATGTATATCAACTGTCCAGTTTGTAATATAAAATATCTTCATAATTAACATCAAGGTCGGATACGTGAATCATTTTATAGTTTAAGTTCATTCCGACTAATAAGTAACCCTTTCTCTTTTGCACTGTGCTGTGCGGTACTTAGTAATATTTGACATGGTTTGCATCGCCCTACGAAAAAGGTCCGCGTAAACCTCACGTAGATGTGAATTATCCACGTGATCTGAAGATCTACGGCGTAATCCTGCCTAGGACTTTACTTTCAACTATTACGACGCGGCGAATCATTGGAAGAATACCGAATAATCGTTGTTATCATAGGTATATGCGGCGCGTTAACGACGGCCGTTTGATTGCAGTGCCGTCGGTATGGCAGAAGACTCGACTGATTCTTCCTTGCTGACGAGCGCCACCGAAGAAGACTCCAGGAAGCCGGCCCGCAGCCGGTTCCCGACGGAGGGCCGCTTCCCGTACCGGGAAAGTCTGAACTTGAGCGCGCGATTCGACGTCCGCCAGCACGACGATGACGCCGCCGGGAGGCGCAGGAGGGGTCGGAGCGACGAGCTATCGTCGGAATACACGTCGGAGTTCGACGATTACGGCAATTCCTACGGGAGACGGGCCGTTCGTAGCTGGTTGTCGCAGTCTTGCCCGCGGCTCTCGAGGATCTGCAGTAAGTCCGAACAACACGACGGGGCTCTCGAACGAGCGAACTCGATCAATCCGTGCAGATGTGGTCTCCAACGGCGGGTAACGGCGCGAGAAACGAGTCTCGTCGGGCGAGACGAGAAGTTCGGATTCCTCTGAGCGCGCGCGATACACGCGCGTATCCGGTGACGCCGAAAAGCGACCGGATCACTCGAATCGGGGGAGAAGGGGGACTCTTGCGCGGGATCCGGATTTCCGGCGTGTCCGACTCGTATTTCACCTCCCCTCTTATCGTCGCGGAAGAATTGGCGGAATCGCTCGCCGCGCGATCCTTTTCCGATAGTTACGACGCGGCCGATATTTCGATCGCGATGATACGTTTAATTATTGCCGGTAAAGCCCTCGAGACTAGCCGCCGGTACTCGTGCACGGTCGAAACGGGGGTGAACTGCCGGTGGGCTTTCGCGGTTACGAGACGAGATTCGCGATAAGTCCCGCGTTTCCGATTCGGCCGGTCAGCGATAGCCGAGTTCTCTCGCTCTCTGCGGGCATCGATCTCTCCGAAACGATCGAAGAGAAACCGGAGGATCGAGAAAAAAAGAACAAGAGGGCCACGGCGCTCTCTACGGGAGACTACTCGCGCGTGTCCGTCCGTCTGTCTGTCTGTACTAATCAGTGTTTCTTACATGTCGAGCGTTGTTGCGACACGAAGGTTTGTTACTAACCCCTACTCTTTCAGGGCTTGAATACTGTGCCATTTATTTATATGTTTTTGCAGTGCGTAGCTTTGGATATACGAATGAATATATTGTCGTTCTTCGAGGTAAGATGCACCTTTGGACAATTTTTTATGTCAGCTCCCCCCTCTTCGTGCATATCCCGCTGGCGTACTCTTTTTTGCGCTCGGAGTACGCGTTGGATTTTTTTTACACGCAACGCCGAAAGCGAACTTCCGCGGTGAATGGCCCGTTTTTCTTTTCCCAACGCGGTTTTGTACTCCCACGGAATGTATCGCACGTTTCCTGCGCGTTTCCGGACGCGCAATCTGATAACGGGGTCTCCTTCGAGAAAGAGGGAAGTGTCAATTTTGGCGCGACTTAAAAATTGAAACGCGTGGCTGACGTAGGGGGAAACGTTTGTCTTTGAACGGCGATACTTAATCCTCGAGCTTAAATCAGCAAACAGCGGTAAGTGACGCTTACCGGCACGTGTGTGCTTGAATCCGCAACAGCGATTGCCCGACTTGTAGGGTCCTGGCTGCGTAGACACTTATTAAATAGCGATGGATGCACGAACGGATGATGTTATTTTTCATTTATACGATTGCACTCATATTCTGCACGATGCCGTAGCGACAAGAATGCGCTTTATACCGGTAACTTTTCTATTTAAAAGAGAAGACAGGTACATTCTTTTTCTTTTTACATTGTATATACCACTCAAAGGGCTTGTGTTAAAAAGGACGAATTTCTGCATTGACTAAATTAAGTGTATCTATAAAATTAAATTTTCCTCGTTCCCAATCTATACATATATTTCTTAGCGATGTTTCTTCAACTTATAGACCTCAAAGATGATGTCATATTTTTCGTAAAACTTTCGATATGTAAATTATTGAACAGAAATATGTATAAATATTTTAGGAGCAGCGAGCTTGTTGGTAGTAATGCGAATTATATTCTCTTTACATCGTTATTTTCACACACACACATATATATATATATATATGTTTATATAATTATTAATCACGATATATGTTTCGGGTATTATACGATATTGCAATTTTTCAACACGTGATATGCATGCCGAGGTACGAGCATGTAGTTTCCGCGAGATAATCAATCTAGTCAGACACCAATACGCCGTAATTTTGAGATAACGCTTTCGAGAGCCGCGCGTTATATATAGTGATAAGGGTGAGTAGAGGTGCTAGGGATCTGATTGACGAGATAAGAATTCAAGGATCAGTGAACACGGTGGGCATAACGATCGCGTTCTCTAAGTGCGCCAAACGTATCTGTCATTCTGGTAGAACGGAGATGATCGCCTATTACCGAACGTCTGCGTCAGTCCGACGGGAAGCAAGGTTGCAAATAGGTTGTGTTTCACTCTTCGATCGTAATCCCCCTTGTAATCCTATTGCTGGTCGATTCTCCTCGGAGGCGTCGTTACCGTCATCTCTACCGTCGTCGCAGTCACGACGGTCGTGCGACGATTGCGCGTCGTACAATCGGAGATTCTCCACGTCGAGAAATCATCCAAACCGCGACGGTGGTCTCGACAAATGCCGCCGGAAGCTTCGGATCCGATTCACTGATTTTTCCCTTCGGGGTATTCGCGTTCATTTCAGTTTGCACGTAGCGGTACGACAACGCCCACGCGCATTCTCTCGCGGGAATTCATCTTTCGCGGCGCGTCGCCGAGCGATGCGAATTAACGAGCGCGAAGGAAAAAAGGGAACGAATCGGAAAAAAAAGAAAAAGAAAACGAAGAAATGAAAGAAAAACGAACGGATCGCTCGCGGAGCCGATGTAGAGGCGAGAGGTAAACGCACTTCGGGCGCTGCGTAGTTTGCGCGCGCTGGCGCGACAGGAAAGACGAAGAGGACGAGAGTGAATGACCGTGCCGAAAACCTGACCC